ATAAAATGAATTTTAAAATCTGATTTGCTAAAAACAATATCCAGTTGAGAATCAGAGATGAGCACCATATGAACTGGTTTTCTGCATGAGGAGATTTTTTTCTCTTCTAGGTTCTTGTTTATGTCATTCTGAAGAAATTGCAGGAACAGTCAAAGGAGGAGCCCAGCCTTTCCTGGTAGAGCTGAGATCCCCAGGGTACACAATAAGCTCTTTCCTTTCCGGAGGATATTGAACCTGCTCTCAGGATTTATCAACAGGAAACAGGCCACGAGCCCTATAACAGCAGGAAGTGTGAGAAGGGTAATGGGGAGCTTTTATTTTGAGGTTGCAAACACATTATGAACAAGGTAGAGAAGTCCACCAGGTTGTCTCAGGGCCAGCTTTAATATTTGGGAGTCAATTCCTTTACAGAGAAATTCTTAACAGTTTTTGAAGATTACAAACAGCAAGATCATCTGATTTAAAGTGTGCATGACTTTTGTACAAGCTTCATTGTATGAATAGATTTTTAGGCTCAAATAATATCTACTATTATTCTACCAACATTATTATTATTATATGTTTTTTATACATTTAATATACTTTAACCAAAACATGAAACAAAAACTTTTCACATTTGCAGGACAGTTTCATTTTTAGGTTTCTTTTTGTTTGTTTAAGGCTAACTTGGAACTCAATGAAAGAGATCTAAGATGCCCAATTCATTGTTGGTAGGACTAGGATATACGACTGGTATACTCAGTGCTGTATTTAAAAAGCCTTGCTATCCTGGACCAAAAGCAACCTGCAGAGAAGAATCTCCCAACTATAGCATCTGTGTGGAAAGCAGCATTGTTGCTGAGGAGATTTGTAGGAGCTGAAGTCAGCTGCACCGTAGATAAATTCTAACTTGTAAATACTGCATCATTCACTACAGGATGACATCAGCTGAAGGATGTTTGCCTTTTGCTTCATTGTACTTTCTTGAGAATGATTACAAATGCGTCGTATCCTTTCTCTAAACATAGCTCCATGACAATACTTTGAAGAATCTTTAAGGCAAACAGTCTTTGCTAGTAAATTCCGCTGTTGTTTCCCCTTTATTCCAGGCTATTACATTCAGCTGCCAACTGTCAGCTGTGAAAACCAAACACAGGAGACAATATATGCTGTGCTTTCTCTGCTATTCTCCTTTTTCAGGTTAGGCAGAAAATTAGAGAAAAATCTCTTTTACTTAAACTCCCACGATTAAGGAAAATCTCTTTTAATTAATCTTCACACTCTAGGTCAAGGGTAAATAAACAAAAACGTACTCTTCTCATCCTTGTGCAACCTTACCCATTGTAAAAGGACCTTTAGGTAAGAGGATATTTCGTTTTATTTAAATGAATTTCAGTGACGCTGAGAATTAGGTTTTATTTTTACTTTGTATATTTAAGTGATGCCTTTATGCTTAGAAGAAAAAATGACAAATCTAATGAATCTCAGCTCCTCCTTGTGAGAAATGAAGAATTAAATAAAATCATATTTAATTAAGCAAATATTTATTGAGAACCTACTATGTGGTAAGGTGTTCTTGTAGGGATGGTAAATGATAACAGGTAATATAATAATAATTAAGGAATCTGTTCTTTCTGTAGATCACAGGGCATTTAGCTATGAATTATCTCTTGGGAATAAGATAGTTCATGCTTCAGGGAGCCTAAAGACTTAGGACAGAGACTGTCTATAGATTTATTTGAGGAGAATCCATTAACTTTAAAGCAGATATTCTCTCCAAAGAGTTGCTGACATTTTACACATGAACTGTGACTTCTCAATATTCCTGCAACAGGAGCAAAAAAAGGATCATTTTTGCCTGGAATGCACAAATACACGTTGATGCCAGAGATGATTGGTGATGTGGTCCAGAGAACAAAAGCAAGCACTGGTAGAGTGTTCAACTCTGTGCAAGACTCTTCTCAGCACTGACATAAATTTACAGTCTAATCCGCATACAATATTTGGAAGTAAGTTCTGTAGTTATTTTACAGTGAGGCAATTGAGGCACTGAGAGATGTAGTTGAAAGTGCTGAAGTGTTAACCCTGAGAGGCCAGACCATGACTCCTTTACTTTGTGAATGGCAGGGATGGTCATTGAAAGGAAAGACGGAATTCACAGCATTCCCTGGAGAACACACTGACCTGGCATCCTCACTCTTCCTTCTGCTTATGTCAAATTCTAGTAGTTCATCTTTCTAGTAGAAATCAAATCTTAAACAGTACATTGTCATACAGACTGCAGATAGAAGCCTGACTTTCTTCCAATTTGGAAATTCATATCTCTGTTCTTCTATCTTATCATTTTGGTAACATAATGCCTGAAAACCTAGAAAATGCAAAGAATGATCTCGCAGACAGAGAGTTTAAAAGGTCAAATTTACTTATTTTAAAAATATTAGTTTGCTGTAACTGCGTCACCTCCCCCAACAACTTACAGATTGTGTGAAATTTACAGTCATTCTGGACTTTAAGCAATAAAATGATTTCCTTGCATTTGTTCTTCACTCTTCAGGGTTTTGTCCTCTACCTCTAAATAAGTTTTATTCTTGGAAATTTGAACAACATCAGATGAAATCTGGACAGTAAGGAAGAATATTCCCATGTGTATTATTGAGTCCCAGGTTGCTAATTTCATTGCCCACATATTGGTTTGCTGCTCTACTTGCTGTTAGTTTTGTGGGTTTTTTTTTGGGTGGGGGGGTGGTTTCCAATGGCCTGTTCCAAATATGAGTGCAGTGCAACACTTGGAACACAATTTCTTTCAGATAGAGGGCCTTAATGCATGCTTCTCACAGATAAAATGCTTCCAACTGCTGCAGTTAGACGAAAGAAGGGAATGGTTTTTGACGTATCCACAGACTTGCTTAGTTGATTGGGATCGCTCTACTGGCAACCTGGAAAGGCAAGTCAGCATTTCTGAGGTTAGATTTGGGGGTTTCAGAGATGTTCCTGAGGGTAACTAATGAGAGGTGTGGAGATGCCTGTTTTGTTTTGTATTAACATAGCACCTTCCTGTGGTGGTTTTGTCCTCCTTCAGTAATTGCTTCTGTCAACAAAGAATGTTAATATAATTTGAACAAAAACAGGATGTAAAGAAAAAAAATAACGTAGATACCCAAAGACAGTCTCTAAATTAGAATCTCTTTGCTGACTCTTAATTTTTAAAATACTAAGGCACCTGATTCTGCTTCTCCGTCTCCCCACTGCCATCTGAAAAGCTTAATGTGGAAATTAAGTCATTTTAATCCTTTCCCCTTAGCCCTCTCTAAACATTAAGCAATGCAAAAGAAACGCACTTGATAATTATATTGTTCATCAGACACTCAAACTGTGAGGAGGTGAATTTTCTATAAGATAAGAGCAGCAGGGCTGGGAAGGAGAAAGACTTAGGAGGCATGAAGCTACTCTTAATTTTGTTAGCTTTAATCCCATTTAGCAACCTGTAACATTATCATGCTGCTTGTCTCTTGGAGAAAATTCATGGTACAAGGTAAAATAAACTTTGGAATTCCCTCATGTTTCTAACTTTGCATGCAGCATTTCATTCAGAGACTTACAGGCCAGGAGAAGGAGAGGAGCCATCTTGCCAAAGCCAGTGTCCACTGTGTCCATTCTGTGACAACCCCACCCAGTATTCATGGCCTCCCTCGATCGTCCTCAAGCTGCCGGTGATAAAATCCTATAAGAGACAAGACCTGAACATGAAGTGAGAAAAACAAACAAAGCTGCAGTGAAATATAAATGTGACATTTTACCTAGCTAGAAATTAATGGGAACTTGAAATCTGGAAAAAGAAGGGAGTATTATAAAAAAGCGCAGATACATTTTTTAGACTCTTTTCTATTGATCTATGATCAATGCGGTGTTATGTACTATGAAAAAAAATAGACAACTGAGTTTTAAAACGTTTCAACATATTCAGAGCCTGGCAGGTAGAATATACCAAAAAAAGGTGAATGTTATACTGTACCTTTGTTGTCAAAAGTAAAAATATCCTTGACATCGTAGACCACATAGAATAATCTTTCTCAGAATACTTTGATGTGGAAATAGTTCATGAGATTCCAGAAGCAACTTAACAAATTATAATAATTTATTCAAGTGTTCTTGGTTTACTGCATATCCTTAACGAATTATTTTCTCATGATTTTTGTTGAAATGAACTTCATCTAATTACTGAATATAGCAGGTATACATTTTTCATTGGGCCCAAAATGTATAATTTTGCATTCTGTTTCATATATATGTATGGGTGGAATGAGTTCAGGAAAACATCTTATTGTTCACTTGTTTTTCTTTTTATTGTTTTTTTTTTTCAACATGGAGTTTCATGTTTGTTGCCCAAGCTGGAGTTCAATGGAATGGTCTTGGCTCATTGCAAACCTCCACCTCCTGGGTTCAAGTGATTCTCCTGCCTCAGCCTCCCAAGTAGCTGGGACTACAGGCACCTACCACCACATCCACCTATTATTTGTATTTTTAATAGAGACTGGTTTCACCATGTTGGCCAGACTGTCCTTGAACTCCTGAGTTCAGGTGATCCACTCACCTCAGCCTCCCAAAGTTCTGGGATTACAGACGTGGGCCACCGTGCCCAGCCTATTCACTTGTTAAGACGTTGGTAAACTAGGTTTAATGCCACTTAAACATTTCATTTAGCAGATACTTACTTTTAAAGATCTATTTATTTCATCACATCACTTCAGTTTTTATACTTCTGCTTTTCCTTGATAATTACAAGGTTATTATAGGTTATTTTATTTGCCTAGAGCATTGAAAATAATACATTTGAAACATATCTGCAACCATAATGTATGTATATCTTGACATGGATTATCATGCTACAAAACAGTATTCTTATTCCCTCCTCTTTTTAGTTAACCAAGGATATGGAACAAACATATTCTTCTCAATTTCTGATAACCATCCTGTTTTTATGTTTTCCCATTCAAAGGAAAACAAACATATGGATTCTAACTTTGTTTCTTTTAAACACTTATTTTTACAATTATATTCTGTTACAGAATATTAAGGACTTTATCTTATGAGAATGAGGAATTTCTTTTAATAAGTAACATGGTATATTCAGAATAAGACCACAAAGCAATATTTACCATTTCTTCTTTGCTGTCTATTTGTAGCAGCATGGAGCCTTCCTTTAAACAATTCTTTTGACTGGTGTGCCAATATTCCCATTTTTCAGAGACATAGTAACAACTTTCTCCATTCTGAATCCAATTGTCTGGACAAGGTTTGCAGTTACGGGCTTTGAATATGAACATTTTACTTTATTAACTTATTGTAAAATATTAACAACATATATCCCCCCCAAAAACCCCTTGCATCACCCTCAGCGAGGCTTAATCCCATAACGTAATGGTTCACATGACGTAGTACTTATCAATTTTAGCTTCTCTGAGGCTCAATATAGTAAGATATATGTAATAATATCTACCTGCAATGGGCCTTTAACTTAAATATGAAAATAATTTGGAGATATATTTAACAATTTTTTTCTCTTCTATAATGATTGATCTGACTATTCCAGTTTTATCAATCTTCCCTTTGTTTGAATTCACATCGTTTATTGTCTTCAGTTATTTGCTCATTGTTTCACGTCCGTTAGTCTTACTGCCCCAATTTAGCTAGAAATGTACTGGACCATTGAATGGGTTGAATACTAAGCCTTGAATTTATGTTTAAATTCTGAGAGCTAAACAAGGAAATATTTCATAGATAATGTTGAGAACACGTAATCCACCTTAAGGAGTGATTTGAAAACATGCAGGTGTGGAAAGTTGGAGAAGAACATTAATGAACAATATGCTTAGTTTAGGACTGTGATGCAACTCAGAAGCAAGCCTTAATGTTTAATCAGTTTTATGGAAACTGTTTTAAGAAGCAATATAGTCACAAAAGAAGGATGATCAAATGTGTAAAAGGGGAATCAAAGATCAAGAATCTGACCAAGTGTTTCTGGCAGTTTTATAGAAGGAAGGACACTGAAACTTCCACGACTCTGGTTTCTAGATAGTCCCTATATTTAGGCTAAGAAATCAGTAGCTTCCATGGGTCAGATGTTGAGTTGTTTAAAGCTCTTCAATGACTTTTGTTTGGAATCCATGCTAATCAATATCCGGAACATTGTTAGAGTTATAGTGTAAATAGTGTAGACAATGGTGTTTGTGGCATTGGAGAACACGTTGGATTTGTAGGTCTCCAAAATGGATATTGTTATTCTATTCAAGGTTGATGGCTCACAGGTGGGCCTCACTTAAGTTTGCAATGGCCTGCTGCAGATAGAAACATTGTTGGACACACGGTGATTCTTCAAACATTTACTTGATTAAATTTTAATCAGAAGGAACTATGGTTGACTTTTGACCTCTCTCACTGGCAATTATGTAAATGGTACCCACTCTAGGAAAGTTAGCTCTCTAAATTATATGTGCAAGCATTATGAAATGCCAATTAAGTAACCATAGAATACTTGACAAACTATGTGACAGGTAGAAATAACTGCCAAAGTATAAACTAGCGTAAGTTCATAGAATTTTTAAAAAGAGCTAGGTCACGCATCACAAAAGAATTTTGTGGTAAATACTCTTATTTTCAAAATGAATTTTTCTGCTCAAAACTATCTAAACTTGAATCTAAAGTAATATCTAAATATGTTGAGAAATTTGGAGCTAGAATTAAAATACACTTACAAATTTGAATGACTGGATTAAACAATGTTTTTGTGTGTGTGTGCAATTTTTAATCTGACTTGCTAATTGCACACAAACCTCTTCGGCATTTGATAGTACATTTCCCTTAGTTGCACTCTTTTGGATCCTTAGTGTTTCCACATAGTATTGGAGGTTATAAATAAGATTGAACTGAAGAGTGATCAAAATTATGTCACTCTTATTATAAAATGCTCACAGTTTTGCAGAGAACAAAATGTGTGTCACTGTATCTTTTGAGGTATTGGGGTACATATCTGGATTTATACAGTGGAAACTGATTTTATATCCATTACCTGAGCTGAGAAAGTTTTGCATGAAGGTTTGATAATATTTCATCTGAAGGGCATGGCTTCTATTCCATTGTGTACAGTTTAGGAGTGCCCTCTCTTGTTGGATGAGTTTTTCTTGCTGCTGTATCACAATGGTGGACACCTGCAACACTTCAAATGGCAGCAATCATTTCTAATAAAATTTTCACATTTTATAGCAAAATAATCCTTCAACACAGACAAAAGACAACTATAAATTACTATTATTTTTGAGACTCAAATTTGTATTATTTTGGGTTTTCTCTTAAAATGTACATTGCACAAGAATCAAACACTGCAAAGGACGTGCAGGAAAATGTCTCTTTGCACCCATTTTAAATTCACTCGATTTTACTCCCCACAAGCAACCAGATTTACCAACTTATTTGTTATTTGAGAGCTTTTGAATATTACACATAAAATAAAACAAAATGAAATTTTACAAATGAAAGCAAATGAACATGAAATTCCCTCCCTTCCTTTAACATAAATGGTAACAATATGTTTACATGGTTTTGCACCTTTTGCTTTATCATTAACATATATATTTAAACACAGTTCCATATAAGTACATAGGCATGCAAAATTATAGTTCAACGCTACAACCAGGAATATTGATACTGATACAATCAAGATACTCAGCTCCTCCGTTACCATGAGGATCTGTCTTCGCCCTTTTATAAGCACACCCACTTTCCTCTTGCCTTCACCCTGTGCTAACTCCTGGCAATCACTAATTTGTGCTTTTTCTATTTTATCACATGAATTATATATGAATAGGATCTTACAGTATGTAACCTTTTGCTATTGGCTTATTTCACACAGAATAATCCTCTGGAGACTCACGTAGATAGTTGTTTAAATAAATAGCTCATCTATTTTTTATTGTTGAGTAGAATTCCGTGATATGGATTACCACTACTGGTTTAACTGTTCACCTGCTGAAGGACATCTAGGTAGTTTTCAGGCTTTAGCCATTGCAAATAGAGCTGCTATAAACATTCATGTGCAGGTTTTTGTGTGAACATAAGTTTTTGCTTCTATGAGGTAAATGCTCAAGAGGGCAATTGCTGTGTTTTAAGGAAGTGTGAAATTTAGATTTTTAAGAAACTGCTACACTGTATTCCAGAGTGGCTACAGCATATTATATTCCCACCAGGAACGAGTGCATGATCTGCTTTCTCGGTAGCTTGACAAGCATTTGATGTTGTCGCTTATTGTTATTTTAGCCATTCTGATTATGTATGTAGTAATATCTCACTATATTTAAAATTTTCATTTTCTTAATGGCTAATGACATTGAACATCTTTTCTTGTGCTTATTTGACATCTGTATATTCTCTCTGGTGAAATGTCTTTTCATGTCTTTTTGCCATTTTCTAATTGGATGGTCTAGTTTTTTACTGTTGAGTTTTGAGAGTTCTTTGCACATTCTAGGTTCTACTCCTTTGTCAGATACTGATTTACAAGTATTTATTCCAAATCTTTAACCTGTCTTTTATTTATTTACTTATTTATTTTTGCAGAAACGGGGTCTCGCCATCTTGCCCAGGATGGCCTTGAACGCCTGAGCTCAAGGAATCCCAAGGTGCTGTAATTCAAGGTGTGAGCCACCACACCTGGCCTGGAACATGTCTTTTTATCCTCTTCCTGTTCTTTTGCAGATTATGCATGTTATATTTTGATGAGGTCCATGCAGCTTATCAATTTTCCTTTCAATAATGATTTTTTGATGTAAGTCTAAGAACTGTTTGCCTACCTTTGGATTCTAAAGATTTTGTCGTATATTTTCTGAAAGTTTTACAGTTTTATGCCCTACAAGACTGTGACCTATTGTGAGTTAACTTTTAATTTTTGTATAAGGTATAAGACTTAGGTTTATTTTCTTTTTCTTTTTCTTTTTTTTTTTCCCTCTGGATGCCTAATTTCTCCAGCACCATTTGTTGAAAAGGCTGTCCCCCTTCTTTCAATTGATTTACACTGCTGACAAAATCACTTGGGCATATTTGTATGAGTCTATTTCTGGATTCTTTTTGTATTTTATAGCTGTCTTTTTGTCCATTAATACACCTAGCTTTAATTAATACAGACTTTGAAATCAGGTAGAATGATTCTACTCAGTTATATCATTGGTTTAAAATAAGTTGATGATATGTTAATCATTATTGGATTGTGACTATTGAATGGACACGCGTATAGAGAGAATGGCATCAAGAAAAATTAGTGAGTTAAAAAACAAAGCAAAACATCTATTCATGTCAGCCAGACTTTTAGGATTAAAAATCATATCTTTTAGAGAGAAATAGAACAACAAAAGAGGAGAACAAAATGGGCAAATCTGTAAAATTATTTTTATATTTTTAACCACAAAACGGAGGTAACGAAGATCATACATGAAAAACATCTGGCCAAGACAGGCTGGGCTGGGCGCGGTGGCTCTTGCCTGTAATCCCAGCACTTTTGGGATGCTGAAGCTGGTAGATCACATGAGGTCAAGAGCTTGAGATCAGCATGGCCAACAGGGCAAAACCCCGTCTCTACTAAAAATACAAAAATTAGCTGGGCGTGTTGGCGTGCAGGTGTAATCCCTACTACTCAGGAAGGTGAGGCAAGAGAGGTACTTGATCCCAGAAGGCAGAGGTTGCAGTGAGCGGAGATCACACCCCTGCACTCTGGCCTGGGCAAGAGAGCAAGACACTGTCTCAAAAAAAAAAAGGAAGAAGAAAAGAAAGAAAACTTTTAATTAATTATATATCTACATATTCTGATCTGTTTTACTTATCAACATTGCTGCTGAGAAGGAAATAGCAGAAGTCAAAAGCCATGGACTAGAGAAAGCAGATGTTTATGCCCTGTGCATGTGTGCATAGTTCAAAAAACCCAGGCTGACAGCTGCTTGGATTATTTTTCCTCTTTTTAGCAAAATAATGAACCTAACCAGAGAGGAGTGTAGGACAGTGATGCTCTAATTTTATCCTATTAATAATCTGGCATGTTTAGACATCAAAAAATAATTTTCCTCTTAGAAATTCAAGATATAATTACAAAATTTTATAGATACTTTTTTAGATTAGTTGTATTTTAGAAGCTGTTGTGTTTATTACTATCTGAACAGCTTATACTATGTAAAACTGTAATAAAACCAGAGAAAGGGAAATAATGCTTCTCTTCAGAGTTTCCCCCTAAATAGGAAGCAAAATATAGCACCTTAATTGGAGTTGAGGTTGTAATCGATTTGCAACAAGTGAGAAATAAAGGCAAAACAATATAATTTCCTAGGGAAAAATAACACAATACTTTTAACGTCCCCTAATAAAATTATTTGTTATATGATGTTATACATTGTACCTAATTGATGAATTAAGAAAATAAACAGTAAAAACAAATAGAAAAGCTGATTTCTTAGGAAATATTTTATATTTTATTTTATAAATATTTTATTTATAATTTTTTTACATAAAAAAGGTGGCATAAATAATGTGGTAGAAAATTAGAAAATGTGAAATGGTAAGAAGAAAGCTAAAAATTAAGTCTACTTGCTTTGGAACCTACCACTCAAATAATAGCCATTAGTATTTGGTTTATATCTACGGAAACCCTTTTCTATGTACGTACATAGAAAAGTATTTTAAATACCACTGTTAGAAAACTATATTTTTGTAAAAATGTCTTTTTAGAAATCTGCTTCTCATGAGAAAATATTGCATAATCATATTTTCATAACAATAACAATGGTTCTAGAAGATTTCTTTAAATAATGGCATTTTATTATATTTATTTATTTATTTATTTATTTATTCGATGGAGTCTCACTCTGTAGCCCAGGCTGGAGTGCACTGGAGTGATCTCAGCTCACAGCAACCTCCACCTGCCGGGTTCAAGCAATTCTTCTGCCTGCGCGTCCTGAGTAGCTGGGATTACAGGTGCCCACCACCACGCCTGGCTAATTTTTGTATTTTTAGTAGAGATGGGGCTTCACTATGTTGGTCAGGCTGGTCTCGAACTCCTGACCTCATGATCTGCCCACCTTGGCCTCCCAAAGCACTGGGATTACAGAGCCACCACACCTGGCCTGCATTGTATTCTTTGTATAAATATGACATAATTAATTTTACCAGTCCTTCTATTGTCAGGTAGGTATGAACTGTCCTTTAGTAATATATACGAGTAATTTATAATTAGTACTTTCATTATGTTCACATGATGATACTTTTAAACAAAAGGTATAGTTTTCATTCACTACTTTTTGCCAGAAACATAGTCCTATTTAAAAATATAGATATGTGGCGGGGCGCGGTGGCTCAAGCCTGTAATCCCAGCACTTTGGGAGGCCGAGACGGGTGGATCACGAGGTCAAGAGATCGAGACCATCCTGGTCAACATGGTGAAACCCCGTCTCTACTAAAAACACAAAAAATTAGCTGGGCATGGTGGTGCGTGCCTGTAATCCCAGCTACTCAGGAGGCTGAGGCAGGAGAATTGCCTGAACCCAGGAGGCGGAGGTTGCGGTGAGCCGAGATTGCGCCATTGCACTCCAGCCTGGGTAACATGAGTGAAACTCCGTCTCACAAAAAAAAAAAAAATATATATATATATATATATATATATAGATATGTATATAATTTAAATATGTTTTGACACTTGCCTTACAATGCAAGTTTTCATTAAGAGAATTGGATGTAATATTTTAATTTAAAATGGAACATAATTAAAATGGCATATTTATTAAAAAATAAACATGATTTTTGTAACTCAAGGCCTGGCTATAACATAATCCATAACTAGCTGGGGCAAGTAATTAATTATTGAACAGAATGCTTCACATGAGGAAGCTACTTATTGCTTAACACAACAGTTTTATTATGGCAACTGGTTTTATTTTTTTAAATCCTTAAGTGCGAAGAATGTTTAAGAAGACCTAGGCGACTTATAATTTTGAAAACAACAACAATACAAATTAACAGTCACTACACTTGAACAAAAGCTAAAGGAAAATATAGCGATATTTAAGTTTTGTAAGTACATATTTTTAGCTATTAAGAAAGCAAAAACTTTAATTTGTAAGAATTTTCTAGCAATTACTGGAAGTCTTAATCACATCATTTTCTAGCAAGGTTTCTTTTATCCTCATCATCATGACATTTTCTTAATACAATTTGTGTTTGTTTGTTCTTGCTTCATGGAATTCTATTGTTTAGATGCTGTACCCTTATTTATTTATGTAACTTGGCCTCTTATCAATGTGGTGAGTATTTGAGGTTTTTCCCTTTATTGTTAAATTTCAGGTTTACCTAATAGAAACGATTTCCCAAAGTGATACTGCTGGGTCAAAATTAATTAATACAGTTTAAAATAACTTACTGTCTTAGGAACAATATATTTATGTTTCATCTAAAGAGATTTTACTTAGTAGATAAAGAAGACACTTATGCATACACTGAACAACAATTCTTTTGGGAACATGGGAAATGTAGAGTGTAATTTTATAATCATCCTTATTATGTGGTATATAATTTTTGTCTATATAGTAGACAAAATATTTTGCAATTGGAGACTGTAGATTTATGTTTATATAAAAACCAAATTATATATATTGCATTCACTTGACAACAGTGCTTCAAGATGTTGCATGTTCAGTTAATTTTGTTTTTAATTGAAAATGTTTTTATATGTTAAGTTTTAAAATCCTCTTACCCAAATAATTATTATTTGTAAAATACCATTGAAATTCATTATACAGAATTAATATTTAAAGAGTATTTTAAAATATTTGCAACACAAGTTAAATACAGATTCTTATATTGTAGAATTACAATGAAGCTTGGCAACGTGTCATTAAAAGTCCTCAGTTTTTACAGAAGAAAATGGATTATTAGATGTTAATTGACTTAACTGTTTGGTCTTTTAAATATAAATTGTTTCCATTGTGTTTGATAAATAGGTATTTAAAATGTATGCTTCTTAAAAAAATGAATTCACATTTGCCTAAATTATATATTTTTTAATAAGACACAAAGCAAGCAGAGAGAGAAAAAGTAAGCTATCTTGAAGTTCTAACATTTCTGTTTAGCTGTGAAACTTTATTTGAAGAGACAGACAAAGTAACAATTAAGCTCTTAGTAATTCTTAAAACGTTCCTCTAAACTCCAGCAGGAACAGGAAGCTCATGACATTACATGAGCAAAATCAAACTTCCCATACTTTGTGAATGTGAATCTGAACCTTTCCCTTCCTTATTCTTAGAGTTCATAATTCTTCCTCTCCAGCTGATGCCTGTTAGATAGAGATAGGATGTGCCAAGGCACACAAGAAAGAAACATCTATCCAAACAATACCTTTCACCTCTGTCTTTTAACATACATTTTCTTAGTGCTACCATGTGTGATGTGAGAGCTTCATAGTTCTTTTTCTGGAATCTGAAGCTCTGTAATTATTATATTTTATACAAATTTCACTTGCCAAACATGAAAATATGTCTTCCATTTGAACTAAAAAGCAATGTGGTTAAATGTGGTTTAACAAAGCTCTCAGGTTTGCATTAAACATTTTAAATTGAAGCTTGCCTAATATAAACAATCTTCAAAAGTCAAGTTTAAAGCAGAATGTGAAATCTTTCAAATTGCATGCTTAACATGTTAATATGACTCACAAATTGAATCAGAATATGTTATTATTTTCATTGTTTCTCCCAGAGACCCGTGGCACAGGATTTGAGTTAAAAAACATGCAATAGCCGGGCACGGTGGCTCAAGCCTGTAATCCCAGCACTTTGGGAGGCCGAGGCGGGTGGATCACGAGGTCAAGAGATCGAGACCATCCTGGTCAACATGGTGAAACCCCGTCTCTACCAAAAATACAAAACATTAGCTGGGCATGGTGGCGCGTGCCTGTAATCCCAGCGACTCAGGAGGCTGAGGCAGGAGAATTGCCTGAACCCGGGAGGCGGAGGTTGCGGTGAGCCGAGATTGCGCCATTGCACTCCAGCCTGGGTAACATGAGTGAAACTCCGCCTCAAAAAAAAAACATGCAATAGATCATTGAAAGTGGCATCCAGGTGCTCAGAGAGTTCTATCAATGATTTAAATTTGAGGCCATTCGTTTATATCATGTTTTATATCGTTTGTATGCATTCACATATTACTTAATTGATTTACCAGTCATTTATAAATTATGAAGTTCTATATATAATGATATACATATATCATTATATATAGAACTTCATAATTTATAAATGACTGGTAAATCATATATATAATGATATATGTATAATGATATACATATATCATTATATATAAGCTATGTGTAGTATATAATACATATATCAATATCTGTTATTTTGAAACTGTCTTTTTGTACTTACACTTGATGGCCAGGAAAATGGATGTTGTTAATAATCCCATGCAGAAAATACATGAAATCACCATCACAAGACACCGTGTTCCTAACCATGAAACAGGAAAAATGAAACCGAGTTAGAGAAAGCAGATAAAACAGATGGGACAAGGATAGATTGAAATTGAGTAAAAGAAGGAATGAACATTGGCATTTCTACTGGAGAGTTGTTGGGGCCTGGAATGTGTAAAAAGGAAAGGAAAAAGAGAACCTTTGCTCAAATGCATTGAAATGCAAGTCATAACTTGAATACATGTGATATGGAAATTACCAAATTAAGTAGATTTAATAGTATACCTCTGTTATCCTTATCTTTGATGTCATACCTTACCAAATAATTACATGTATTATTTTCCAACAATCTTTTAGAGAGTCTCATAAGTGAAATGCTGGCTTTATCTTTTGAGATTAAGAATGCTGTCTCACATCTCCCCATCTCTTCAGTGTCAATTGAACATGATTGAATCAAAGAAAGATACACATTTTAAATATATACTTTTAAATATACATTTTTGGAAGAGGAACAAGTTTTCCAAGGTAATTTTACAACTCTCTAGAGAGGGGAAAAAATGTGTGATTTGTTGTATTCAAAAAGCTAGTCAGAGAAAAATAGTTAAAATTTGTTTTTGGATATTGTGATAGGCAGAAAAATGCCCTTTTCTAACATGTCCATGTCATAATTCCTCAAACTTGTAAGTTATCTTATGTGGAAAAGGGACTTCAAAGATGTCATTAAGTTAAGGATTTTGGATGAGAAGATTAGCCTGGATTACCTGGGTCCTTTTTAAGTGAGAGGTAGGACATTGGAGAGACAGAGCATGGCATGATGATGGAGGCTGAGAAACATTTAAAGAGGTTATGTTGCTGGCTTTCAAGATAGAAGAAGGGTCCATAAGCCAAGGAAAACAATAAATGCAGGTCTAGAGACCAGAAAAGACAAGGGATGGATTCTTCCCCTGGATCCCTGACAACACCTTGGTTTTGGCTCACTGAAATCCATTTCAATTTGTGACATCTAGAAGCATAAGACAATAAATTTGCATTCTATTAATCCCCTAAGTCTGTGTGATTGTTACACCAGCAGGCAGGAACTAATACAGGTATTAAGTGATACCGACTGAACTAATCACTGTAGCAGACAACTCTAGGCCAAAGAGATCTTGCCAGTTTTTCAACCTATGCTTTCTCTTTTTATTTCTCAGTATTTACCAGATAATTTGCAGAGTGTTTTATATAGTAGTTCAATTAACTAAAATTGTATTTTTCATGTATTTCCCAAATCTAGGTATTCTTTTTCTTTTCTAGAGAGACAGAGCAAAAAATAGTTCCATGTATTTATCAAGTTCATTGCTCTTTTTTTCACCTTTACTTACTCCTTCTCCACTTCATTAAACATTTCCTGCACATTACGGTACTCTTAAGTAGATTATCTCAGATGAGAATAAATATCTTGACTTCATGATAGAGCAGAAAAAAAAAAAAACATGAACTCTAAAGTCTCACACAAAATAGTTAGAACTGGTTACCTGAGCATTTGCTGGAAGGCAGACATTTCTGGTAAGTGTTAGGTACTGGACTATCCCACTGAAGAGAGGTGTATATTTCTTCTTCATGCATGTCTGAGGTGCTTTGATAGAAAGCAGTCCACACAGGGGGCTGGCAAAAATGACACCTTGGATGGTTTGGAGCAGGTTGGTGAAAGAACTGAAATTGGTTGCATTTTCACAGTAGTGGGAAAGTATGTTGGTGTTTAAGGAGTAGAATAGATGCATCTTCATTCAGAAAGTAGAAGTTTATGAAGTTTAAGCCAAAACACAACTTGTTGAAAAAGGAAATGAGAGAGAACTGAATTCAGATTGGCCAATGACAGAAATTTTTTATCTGGTTTCCAAAATGTAGCAGATATTGAAGGTGTTAGCAGTGAGTTCAGAAGAAAAAGATAATAGTGCAAAGAATGCACTTGCATTTGGTAGAGGAGATGAAGCATAGAGATGACCTAGATAGTGAAGATCTAAAGATAGCTCACATTGAGCAAACCAGGGTGTAAAGAGTGTCAGATCACTGGGTGGCCTTAAACAACGAAGCTAGGAAGGAATTTCAACCTTAAAATAAATTTACGTACTGTGTATCTGATAGTGCAATGCTAGTTACTGCGATAAGTAAACCTAAAAATATCAGTAACTTAACACAATAAAAGTTTATATCTTACGTAATTTTTTTTTTTTGCTCCAGGAATCCTAATTAGTGATAGCTTCCCTCCAAATGAGACTTGGGATTCTTTCATTTTGTGAGTCATTGCAGTCCTTGACTTCTGTTCACTAGAAAAGACAAGGTGATGAATCTAAACCTGCTTCTTGAAAGCCATAACCTATAAGTAACAGGTCTCACAATCACATCCACCAAACGCATGCCCGCGTTTGGATATAAAGTTTGAGCCTGAAAAATAAAATTTTTTCCTGGACAGCAAGCTTTTGATGATCGCTTCACTCTAGAAGGAAAGCATGAATTATTTAGTTGACAGCCGACCATTTCTGCCACATCTTGTGACGGTAGCATCAGACATTTGAGACTTTAATCATCATTTATTGTTTGATCCCTTGTCTTTACGGCATATAACGATATGCAAAATTGTATTGTTTGCTTTTGTTTCAGTAACTCACTGGCTTCCTCAGTCTTCTCCCTAGCAATCAAGCCCTGAGAAGGAAACAAATGGCACACACAAGGGATAATCTAAGGGAATTTAATTAAAGGACTGTATACAAAGTTTCGGGAAGTGTTAAGGGAAACAGAAAGGGGTTGTGACATGTACACGGGGAAGCTGTCAGGTCAACTGAAGAATCAAGTTGAAAATGTTTATTGGAACTGCTTGACCTGCCTGACAAGGGCCCTGGACTAAAATAGAGAACGTGTATTCTTTGCCACACAAACACATGGCAGGGAGACAGCCAATTGAATAAATACCCTACCTCTGACCACCAGCGCCTTCCATTGGCTGAATTAACTAGAAGCCAGGGGCCAGGTTTGTTTGCCCTGATAATGTATTCATTTGAGCTCAGCCTCTCAAAGCACAGGTTGGGACTGAGAGAATTCCCAGGGGCAACTGAAGAATATCCAGTCCATATGCCTATACATATACATGTACATATACATATATACATGTAATTTTTTTTTTTTTTTAGTTGGAGTTTCACTTTTGTTTTCCGGTCTGGAGGGCTGAGGCCTGATCTTGGCTCACTGCAACCTCTGCCTCCCGGGTTCGAGCAATTCTGCCTCAGCCTCCCGAGTAGCTGGAATTACAGGTAACTGCCACCATGCCTGGCTAATTTTTGTATTTTTAGTAGAGATGGGGTTTCACCATGTCGGCCAGGCTGGTCTCGAACTCCTGAACTTAGGTGATCTGCCCACCTTAGTCTCCTGAAGTGCTGGGATTACAGACATGAGCCACTGTGCCCAGCCCCATTCTTCAATATTTTATATGATGCCCATGTGACCTGAGATTTGTATCTGAAAATTAATGTAACTTAAACCTATGTAGCCTTTAAAGTAGGATCACTTCTATCTTGAAGAGAAACAGAGGAAAAAATCATAAGCATACCAAATGTACAGAGACTAATGTTAGGAACAAGGTAACAGAAACTTAAGTTGTCATTAATTTCCAATTATTCTCAAATTTTATCAGCACTTAGAAAGACCCCTTTTCCCCAAATATAGAACATTCCCTGATAAATTTCTTTGTGTGGAGCCATTGGCTTCTCCCAATGCAGGATTAATATATTCCTTTTATTATTTTTGATGTTTTAATCGTGACTTTATTTACTATTCATTATATTCCAAGTTCTATTTTCAAAAACTTTTACATGAATTATTTTGATTTTTATCAATAGTGCAATGAAATAGGCACTATCATTAGTATAGAGTACAGGCATATCTTGTTTTATTGAGCTTTGCATTATTGTGCTTTGCAGATATTGCATATTTTAAAGTGAAGATTTGTGACAACCCCGTGTGAAGCAAGTCTATCAGTGCCATTTTTTCCAACAGCATATGCTTATTTCATGTCTCTGTGTCACATATTGGTAATTCTCATAGTATTTCAAAACTATGAGAATTATTATTATCTGTTCATTATTGTTATCTGTTATGGTGATATGTAATTGGTGATCTTTGATGCTACCATTGTAATTGTTTGGGGGCACCATGAACTATACCTGTATAAGATGGTTAACTTAATTGATAACTACCAATAAATACTGTGTATGTTCTGACTGTTACACCAACTGGCTGTTCCCTCATCTCTGTACCTTTCCTTGAGCCTCCTTATGTTCCCTGAGACCTAACGATATTAAAAATAGGTCAATTAATAATGCCACAAAGGCCTGTAATTGTTGAGGGAAAGAGTTGCATCTCTCTCACTTTAAATCAAAAGTTAAAAATGATTAAGTTTAGTGAGGAAGACATGTCAACAGCTAAGATAAGCCAAGAGCTAGGCTTATTACATAAAGCAGCAAGCCAAGTTGTGAATGTGAAGGAAACATTCTAGAAGGAAATTAAAAGTGCTGCTCCAGTGAACACACAAATAAGAAAGCAAGATAACCTTATTGCTAGTATGGAGAAAGTTTAGTGGTCTAGATGGAAGATCAAACCGATTACAACATGCTCTTAAACCAAAGCCTAATTCAGAGCAAAGCCCTAACTCTTCACTTCTATGATGGGTGAGAGAGGTGAGGAAGTTGCAGAAGAAAAGTTGGAAGCTAGCAGAGGTTGGTTCATGAGGTTTAAGGAAAAAAGCCATCTCTCTAAAGAAGAAAAAAATGAAAGACGAAGCAGCAAGTGTTGATTTAGAAACTGGAGAATGTTATCTAGAAGATCTAGCTAAGATATATGAAGGTTGCTACATTAAACAATAGATTTTTAGTGTAGATTAAACGGCTTTGAGCTGGAAAGAGATGACATCTAGGACTTTTATAGCTAGAGAGGAAAAGTCAATGGCTGGCTTGAAAGCTTCAAAGGACAAGCTAACTCTATTGCTAGAGGCTATTGCAGCTGGTGACTTTAAGTCAAAGTCAGTAATCATCTATCATTTCAAAAGTCCTAGAGACCTTAAGAATTGTCCTAAATAAACCCTGCCTATTCTCTATGAATGAAACAACAAAGTCTGGATGACAGCACATTTGTTTGTAGCATTGTTTACTGAATGTTTTAAGCTCACTGTTGAGAACTGCTCAGAAAAAGGTTTTTTTTCTCAAAATATTATTGCTCATTGACAACGCCTCTATTCACTCTAGAGCTGCCATGAAGATGTACCAGGATATTAATGTTTTCATTCCTACTAACACAGCCTCCATTTCTGTAACCAATGGATCAAGAAGTAATTTTGATTTTCAAGTCTTTTTCTTTAAGAAATACATGTCATAAGGCTATCACTGCCACAGATAGTGATTCTTCTGATATGTCAGAGCAAAATGAATTGAAAACCACCAGGAAAGGATTTACCGTTCTAGATGTCATTGAGAAGATTTGTGATTCACGGAAGGAGTCAAAGTATCAGCATTAACAGGTGCTTGGAAGAAGTTGACTCCAACCTTCATGGATGACTTCGAGGGGTTCAAGACTTCAGTGGCAGAAGTAACTGCAGATGTGGTGGAAACAGCAAGAGAACTGGAAGTGGTGCCTGAAGATGTGGCTGAATTGATGCCATCTCATGAGGAATGAACAGATGAAAAGTTGCTTCTTATCAGTGAGCAAATAAAATGGCTTCTTGAGGCACTTACTATTCCTGGTGAAGATGCTGTGCACATTGTTGAAATAATAACATAATAAGGATTTCAAATATTGCATGGACTTAGTTGATAAAGCAGTAGCAGGATTTGAGAGGATTGACTCCAATTTTGAAAGAAGTTTACTATGGGTAAAATGCTATTTAACACTACTACAAGCTATAGATAAAAATTTCATAAAAGGAAGAATAAATTGATGCCACAATCCCCACCGTTGTCTTCTTTTTGAGACACAGTCTCGCTCTGTCGCCAGGCTGAAGTGCAGTGGCATGATCTTGGTTCACTGCAACCTCTGCCTCCCGGTTCAAGTGACTCTCCTGCCTCAGCCTTCCAAGTAGCTGGGACTACAGGCATGCACCGCCACCCCTAGCTAATTTTTGTATTTTTAGTAGAGATGGGGTTTCGCCATGTTGGCTAGGATGGTCTCAATCTCTTGACCTCGTGATCTGCCGGCCTCGGCCTCTCAAAGTGCTGAGACTACAAGCGTGAGCCACCACACCCAGCCCATTGTTGTCTTATTTTAAAAATAGCCACATCTACCCCATCCTTCAGCAAACACCACTCTGATCAGTCAGCATCCATCAACATCAAGGCACGACCCTCCACCAGCAAAAAGATTTCTACTCACTAAAGACTCAGATAATTGTTAGCATTTTTAGCAATAAAGCATTTCTTATTTTATGTACTTTTTATTTATTTATTTATTTTGAGATAGAGTTTCGCTCTGTCACCCAGGCTGGAGTGCCGTGGCATGATCTTGGCTCACTGCAACCTTTGCCTCCTGGGTTCATGTGATTCTCCTGCCTCAGCCTCCCAAGTAGCTGGGATTACAGGTGCCCACCACCACGGTGTTCTAATTTTTGTATTTTTAGTAGTGCCAGGGTTTCACGATGTTCGTCCAGCTGGTCTCGAACTCCTGACCTCATAATCCACCGCCTCAGCCTCCCAAAGTGCTGGGATTACAGGCGTGAACCACTGCACCTGGCCAATAAAGTATTTTTTAATTAAAGTATGTACATTTGTAGACATAATGCTATTGTATACTTAATAGGCTACAGTTTATGGTAAACATAACTTGTATATGCACTAGGAAACCAAATAATTAGTGTGACTCACTTTATTACAATAATTGCTTTATTGTGGTGGTCTGGAATTGAGTCCACAATATTTCTGAGGTGTGCTTGTAACTTAGTTGTAATTTGAAGCACTTAGATAATATGTAGAAGTTTTAGTATTTGGAATGAAGTGTTCTGATTTGTGCAACTAACATTTGTGCAATTTTGATTCCATGTGTAAGATGCTTTAGATATGAATACCAGGAAAATATATCTTTGTAGGCACAGTTTGATTGTCTTACATTTTTAAATTGTATTGTTGCCATGCATTAAGCTACCATTCTTCTAAGTTTATGTATGCCATAGTGATGTATAAACATATGCTTTTCCATTTTGGGGAGATGAAACAAAGTCCAGAGATATGGCTAACTTTTGGGCAATATTCTGAATTATTAGTTCCTATTTGGTTTCTCTAAACAAACAATTAAAAAAAAAAAAGTGATACCATTACCCAAATCCAAGATCTCCAGACGTTTGTGTTAGCCAGTAGAATCTGAGGTATTTCTGTTATTTTTCCTCAGCCCTCCAAATATGCTTATTTACTGATAGCCTAGAACAAAATAAGGATTCAAGTGTCTTTGAGTGTTAGTGCACAAAGCTTTAAGGGTTGCACGCATTTATTGGGAATGTATTACATGCTTGGTATTCTGATCAATACTTTACATAATCATATTAAACGAGCTTCACAGTTACCTTACAAGCAAGGTAATAATATTAAACCCATTTCATAGATGAGGAAACAGAGTTTTAAAGACACTAAATTACTTATCCAAAGCCACACAGAGAGTAAGTTCTAAAGTAGTGATAGTTCTCTAACTGTATTAAAGACTACTTGTGCTGGTAAAAACCCAGGTCTCCGTGTCTCCTCGGCCTTCTGGGTAACATCAGCATTTGTGTTTGAACATCTCCATGTTTTAACCAACACTTCAGTTGAGATGTTTAAGAATCATGTTTATAAACTGTATTCGCTAGTTAAAGAAGGGAAGCTGTGGGAAAGAAATGCAATTTTTGCCTATTATCCTGTGAGAGGGTGCTTTTCCATGTATTCTATAAATACTTGCTGAGTTACTCAGCAAGAAACAAGCATAGAGCTGTTAAGAATAGACCTAAATAAAGCATTTTAACTTGTCCTTCTGTGAAGTAGCCTCTGTGCCATGTTGAGAAGCATTTATTCATTTTACAAATCCCATGAGCTTTCTTACAAACTTTCTTTCCCTTCTTTTGCCCAAAAACTTGCTGCTATTGAGTCTAACCAGAAATGAACTTGGAATAGTAATTGCATTTATGAAAGTCTCTCTGTTTCCTGTAAGCCAGGATCTGGATTTGGTGGTGGTAATACAACAGTAAATGGAGAAGTCACAGTGCCTGCTTTTGTAAACCTCCTGGTACAGCCAATGCTCCAACATTTTAAATCGTAGAACTGTGAGGTATAAATGGAGGATGTATTCTTCCAATTTTAATTATGCAAAAATAGAAGCTAAAAAGTCTATGTGGCTGGTTCATGGTTGTACTTTAAGTGACATTATCTAAATTATTCTACTGATTCCAAGTTTAATATTCTTTTTATTATCTAACGCTATCTTTCAAAGTTACTCTGCACAGATTTTAAACTTCGGTATTTTGCACAACTTAATTAAGCCCTAACCTATATTGTCCTGATTTTAATTTTATATATGTATATCTGAAGATGCAGTAAATCATACCATGTTCACGTAATTAGATGTTTGAAGACAAGAAGAAAGAAAATTAAGGGAAAATAGAATAATTGGGAAGCAAATGATCAGTTTACATGTTGGCTTCCAGTTAATCAAAGAAAGGAGTAGGTAAGTGATTCTGGCAGTAAAGATAATATTAAAACTGACATCAAGGAGAAGAAAGGAAGAAATAAGCAATTTTTGGCTAGTGATTTATTCAATCAGAATTTTTATTGTGCAATAAAGCCTTTATCTGTGATATCCTGCCCATCTGTTTGCATTAAGGTAGTTGGTCCACGTTGGCCATGCTAGCCTTCCTCTAACACATTAAATAATGTTTGTTCTTACAGAAGGTAGGGTGCGTTTTTCCATTATGAAAATAGGCACAATTCATATTTCCTTTTCCATCTTCAGAAAGCTCAAACCTGTGAATGGGAAAGGTAGAATAAATTCCTTCAAAAACTAAGCAACCAATCAACAGTCAAACTCTGTGTATAATATTTTCATGCACAAAATGGAGACTCTGGGAAAAACAGAATAAAAAAGTTTTTCATTGTTGAGTAACTCCCAACCTGCTTGGTAGTACAAGGTATGTATATTTGAAAAGCTCAATAGCAATTTCATGTAGCGTAAGATTAAGGAGCAAGGGAACACTAGTACAGTAGGAGCCCCAAAGAAGCAATGG